TTTACTTCCAAGCAAGACACCAGTGTGGAGTAAAAAGTAGCTGGGTGCTTGGCTGCAGTGTCTGTGTTACAGCAGAGAGAGGCGAGGACCGGGGCACTAGGGAGCATGTGCCTCAGTGAGAGGAACCACAGTTAGAGACTCATTCTGTTGATGCTTTGGGGAATCTGGGAATATGAGCCCAGTGCTGGAGGTGCCACGTACCACTTACCTATGTGAGAACTTCCTCTGAGTGCTTAAATACCCACCTAACAATGACTTTCAATATATGGTGAAGGTTCCTAAAAGCTCATACCTCAGCCAGTCTGTGCTGGGTTCCTTGGGGTAAGCAGTGCAGACGTTTCTTTGTATTTTCCCCCCAAATAAGATAATATTATTTTAGGAGGATGTCACCTTTGGGGAGAGGAGAGCACATTCAAGTAAGTCATCCTGTCCCCTCCAACTCTCTTAATGTCATGGTCTCACCCAAGATTGAGAGGAACAAGTAGGACATAGGTCAGTATGACCTTGTTCCCTACAAATGAAAATGTTTTGCTGTCAGCGAAATTCTCATCTGCTTTCAAAATCTTTACTTCAAATCTTGATGAACTGATTCAGTCTTTTGTGTTTTGAAGCTGCACCTCCTTCAGTGCTATGATTTTCCTTTATATCCCAGCTAGTTTTTTCTGATTTCTAAATATGCAAAAAAATTGCTTATGGACATGAGGACAGCCAATCTCTTTACACTTGGAAAAATTAATATTTCTTCTAGAAAAGTCACCATATGTTGGGCGGACGCCAGTTGGTATTCAAATATGAGTGAAGACAGATGCCTGCCAAACACAGACTGATTAAAGCGCCTGTCAGTGCCTTTCAGCCTTGAAAAACATTAGAGGCACAACAGTGGTGGAATTTGAATATTATTAAATATCCTTTACTGCTTTTCATGGCTGAAGTCTCAGGCAAAGTAACCATAATAAAATACTCCTGCTTAGAAATTACTGGCTCCTGTTTTGTTACAGGAAACATGCGATGGCTGGGCTGGCAGGCTGGGAAGGGAACCAGCTTAAAAGATGTATTGAAAAACCCAACAAATCACCAGCAACTCAAAGAAGTTTTTAAGTGGTTCTATTTATTTTTCTTGAAATACATGTCCTTGAGGGTTTTGGTTACGTTCATTGGGTTGAGCTCCAGGATTCCAAGGCAGAGCCTGAATAAGCATTTAGTGAAATAGGAAACTAGAAGTCAGATGAGGACATGGCGTGGGCTACAGTGACGGACCTGGGGCATGCGAAGCAGAGGGCGTCCACAGCTCTGCCCAGAGCCCGGTGCCGATTCCGTGTGCTGTCGGGGTGGCCCTCATCTCTGGCCCTCTGTGGTATAAAATGTTTTCTAGGTTGTTTCCAGCTTCCACGAATGCATTCAGTCTGTTCGCATCAGACTGCAATACGCGTGGAAATTCCCTGGGCCTCTTACAGAACTGCAGATTCTGACCCAGGGGGCCTGTGCTGGGGCCAGGCCTGCCTTTCCCACGAGCTCCCTGGTGATGCCAGCCTGCGGAGCACAGCAAGCTCTCTGCACCCTCCATGCCGTGTCCTGCTAAAGCCCTGGGTCTGTGAAAGCGCAATCACCTGACATTTCAGATAAGAGGGAGCACGGCGCAGAACATGCCTGCCGCGGCATTCGCTGTTTTCATTCCTCTTAATCATCTCCATCAAAAACCCTTTAAGTGCCTAATTATGCAGAACAGCGTCACATGCTTTACAAAGAGAACTAAATAGATTTGGTCTCTAGTTGATCAGACTTGACAACCTAAGACAGAAAAATACATATAGAGACAGTAATAAATATTGAAGCAGTAATAAATGCCGAGTGATAAATGCTCACCCAGATATAGAACACATTAAAACAAAAGTGGATATGTGTTTAGCATGAGCCTCCAGATACCAGTTTTCATGCAGATTTTGTTCCTTTTGAAAGTCCAGAATGCTTAATAGCTAACCCTATAATTTTTACATAAAAATAAGAAGTTTCTGTTTTTGTTTTCCGATGGAGCCGCGGGTGGGGGAGGTCAGTGTCTGAGGCTCTTTGTTAGTTATTTGATTGATATGGGCCTCCCTTGCCTTGAAAGATATACTCAGAGGTCCCGCACCGGAACCCTATCAGCATGCAGGTGCCTTGCCCTGAGTTCATGCTGCACAGGATGCATGTCTGTGCGTGAGCTCAGCAGCCTGCCCTCCGAGCGTCCTTCTGGGATCTTGCCCTCCAGTCACCCTCACACTGCCTCTGGGAGGCAGGGAGGGGGCTGGACACAGTTATGTCTACACCGCGGGCTGTTGGGTGATGCAGAAGTGGACACTGGTACATCCAGAGCCTTGCAGTAAGTTTCTCATGTAAGAAGATTTGGATTTGGTTCCCTTCCTTCTGTCCACACTTGCATGTGAACTGACCCAGGCACTTAGCGGTCTTTGTTGGGAATGGATCAGACAAGTGGCCTCAACCAACATTTTTTCCTGACAACAGAATAGGTTCTGCTGCTAGAGGCCAGGCTGTCGACCTGCCAGAGACTGTGGTCAGGTCCTCACGGTGAGGCGTGTGTTATTTCTGGCTAGCGAATCACTGACTAGCAGGGTAATGCAGGATGGCTGAGCTTATTGATTTATTCTAACCCAGTAAGAGCTAAAAGAATTATCACAGGTCCAGAAAATGTTTCATTATTCTAATTGAGTTTCCGGATCAAATGTATATTAGTAATGACAGTAGAGACCCTTCCTTCATGCCTTCTGATTCAGGTGGGCACATAGGATGGTTAGTACTGACTGTGGGCATGCTAAGCCACATGAAGAGGTAGAGGAAACTGTGTACCCCGTGGTCTTTGGCTACAGTCTGTGTGTTATCCAAGTGGTGCATTTGTGTGAAGAGACACTCTAGAATCTGGAGGCCGCTCTGGGGTTTGAAACTTGACTCCACCATTCACTGGCTTTGTCAATTCACCATCCGGTCTGATACCTGTGCTTTGGGTATATCTGAGGAACCAGTGGCATGGTGGTATAGATCCCATGCAATTCTCGAGTGCCTTATGTGGGATGGAGGTACGTGGACTGTGTGACATAGTGACTACAAATGACAAGGACTCATAGTTGATCATTATCAATAATCCTAATAAAACCAGTATACAGGACTACATCTAAAACCATTTGTCTTGGAAAGAAGAAGAGCTAGAGATTCTAAATTTGGTATTTTTAAATTATATCATATGTAAATCTTTGTACAGGAGGTTGTATCTGGGTCAATGAAATGTCACACTCTGTTTATTACAAATAAAGCTGCTATGGAGACCAAGCCTCCATTAATTATGTTCAACTTCATCTTTCATTCTGTAGTGTCTCATACAGCTATTGTGTCATTTTTAAAATAAATGAAATTAACTATAAAGAGTAAAGACACTATACTCACAGGAAAATATAAAACTGTGAATAATTGTGTATTAAAGCGGGAAGCTAAACTTTTAAAAAGCCACAATTGGTAATATCGTGTATCGTGCATTAGCGTCCTGTAATAGATCTGTGGGCAGATGGAATTTTGCAGGCAGGACTCAGTACACTAAGTATCTGGTTGCCTGCTCACTGGCCAATGAGAATGGGCAGAGACCTGTGGAGCTTGGTCATGCCCCTTGCCTACAGACTGGGAGGAAAGGCAAAGGACTGCTCCTTAGAGGATGCGGCTGGATTGCAAGGGTGGGGAGCCTGTGAAGCAGGAGCCTGACCAGCTGGAGGGAAAGTCAAGACACCAGCATGAGCCATTGGAAGTGGAGCCAGATAAGAGGCTGGGGATTTAGCTGGGTGGCACAGTGCTGCCTGGCAAGCGTGGGGTCCTGAGTTCAATTCCCGGTACCAAAAAGTAAAGTGGAGCCAGATATATAGGAAGCAAAGACCTGGGGATGATCCTGACTCACGGGTCTGTCTACTGGCACCTTCTGACGGGGTCTCTGTGGCTCCTGCTCAAACAGAGATGAAGTTACCTGGGCTCAGAAGCAGCAGTGCTTTCATTACGTTTCCCCCCACCTTTGTTGTGCATGAGACTCACCTGCATTTGTTAGAATGCAGATTCTCGCGGACCTGAGGTCCCATCTGAGACCTACATTTCTAGCAAGTACTCTGGTGTTTCTGAAATTGCTGCTCCAGGGAGCGTCCTTGGAGTAGCAGGCGTCTGAGCCACGCGCTCCTAAGCAGCCCTTCCCCTAACCGTGACCTCCTTCCTGTCTCTCTGTTCCCTGCGCCCAAAGTCCACATGACTCACAGTCTGCTGATCCTCACCTTCCCGCCTCTCATCCCCTCTGCTGGAGCCCCAGTTTTATAGAAGCAGAATTTTAACACTGAGATTACATTTCTCAAACTTGAATCATACCACCCCTTGTAGGAAGTGATCTTTATGAGTGATGTAACTTTATTTTTAAGCATAGGAAACTGTGTTAAAAATACGTATATTTCAAAGTGGAAGCATAAAATAATATGCCTAGATCTGTTCTAACCATAGCACCACAGTTCTTTGCACTTTCAGTGCACCCTCTTTTGTCTGACAAGACCTGTGGGGTTTGCAGCCGTCCATGCTTGACTCCACCCGTTCTTGCACGTCTCAAAAGGTCAGCCCTCAAGGCGTGTAGTCGCAGGGCTATGTAGCTCAGCTGCCACCAGATCTGTGGGGAAGAAGCGAAGCTGGAGAGGCTGAGCAAAACTAAAAGCCTGGGCATAATTATCACATTTTTTTAATGCCATCATTCTTATTTTCCTACATGTATAGAATTTAGGTTACTATATAGCTCTAGGAATATTTTAAGAGCAAGTTTTAATTTTTGCCTTTTAACAGTCTTTTCAATGTAGTATTAAAATACTAACAGTTAAATAGTTCTTTGTCTGTTACTGTCTTTATTGTCCAAAACTTAAATACATAAATGAAAAGATAATCATTTTATCTTTAGTTTTTACAATAAAACTTTTTTTCTCTTGTTTCCTTTCTAGAACACACACAGACCTTGTATTGTTCAGCAGTCGGGGAGAACCTCAGAGCTAAGGACAGGTGATCTCAAGGTATTTATTTGTCTGTGGGGTTGTTCGTGCACGCTGGCTTCACACTCAGTGTTGTGCACAAATGCTGGTTGACCCTGAGTCATAGGCCAGCAGACACACAGCCTGTGAGGGGAGAAACTCAGGATGAGCCGGTCAGATTTTGGGTTTGACCCTCGAGTCATCTGAAATAGAGACCGAGACAGGCAGGTGCGCTGGGTGTGCTTCCTGTAACAGCCTCCTTTCTGTCAGTGGCAGGCGCAGCCCTGCTTCTGCTGAGTAATTGAAGTTGGGCAAATTCCTGCCCTCTCTTATCCCTTTCCTCGTCTTTGAGACGTGGATAATAACTGGATCACCTCTCGGGCTTCATGGAGAACAAATATAATACCCATCACCCTCATCATCAGAAACACCGAGTGGTATTTACTGTTATCATTATTAGTGCTAACTGAAATTACACCAAAAGTCTCCGAGTGACCGTGAGCTGTCTCTTCTTAACAGAATCGGATGCAACTCACCCCCTAAAAAACCAATGTCTCAGTTACTCTTTTCTCATTGCTGGGACAAATACCTGACCCCCAAAATGAAGGAAGAAAAGGTTTATTTAGCTCGCAATTGCTGGAGGTTTCAATCCATATTCAGCTGGCTCCAAGGCAGAGTGGCCCATGGCAAGGAACGTTTCATGGCAGCAGCAAAGAGCAAGAGAACAATATGGAGGAGTAATAGCAACAATGGCTACAGACAGGAAGTCTGTCTCTCTGTCTCTCTTATATTACATTCAGGCTACCTGCCCCAGGCTGTGTGTACTACTCATACCCATAATCCCAGCAGTATTGAGACCCATAATCCCAAAGGATCATGAGTTAATCTCAAACTCTAAAAGTCCCCGCCCCATGATTACATGAGGCTTTGGGAGGACAACTAGATGCAAACCATAACAACCATCTAACCTAAATGTATAATAAGTTAACACAAAGACATTCTATATTTGATTTTAGCAATTAGGTTAGTAGAGAGGTATCAATTTTTATACTGAATCCTGGACCGTGGCATACCACGTCCACTTCACTTAAAAGACTTAGGACTCTTCCGTGTGGTGGCCTGGGCTGGCCTAGTCCCATTGTGCAGCATTATCCGGCCCCACAGTGGCCTGGGGCGGAAGAGGTTCATCTGCTCTGACTCTTCCCAATCTCTCCACAGAAGAAACCTTGTTAAATAGGCCACTGTCTTTTTATTAAAACTCCTTCCACTTGTTGAGAAATTGTCTCTCTCGCAGGAGCAACCCTTTTCCCTAGGAGGGCAGGGAGCTATTTCAGGGTCACTATAGTTCCCCTCAGAGGCTTGGGTCTTTCTAAATATAACTGCAGATCCTGGAAAACTAGCTTTTGGTTAGCCAACTTTGACTGAAGAATCAGGGCATTAAGAGCTTTGATTTGATTATCTGTGCTCCGAAAGTGCCTTCCTCTGACCTCCGATACTTGACAAGACTCTTGATTCAGGACTTAAACACTGTCATCTCTAATGCACTTCTCTTTCCACCCAAGTGGCTGCCTTGCACATTTTAGTCATAGCCTGACGTGCGGAGCATTTTCCAGTCAGGGGGTAATTAAGATTTGACTCAAGAATCTGTATGTTTCAGACTAGGTTCCAGATGCATCTGTAGTGAGCGCTCCCCTCTCCTCAGTTTCTGCAGAGCATTGTCTGTTTCTGTTTTGTATGTTAAAGATTGATTTAATCCACTTTTCGCTTTGTTCTCTGCCTTTTCCAGCTCCTGTCTCCAGTGTTATGGTGGTCTTTATTGGTATGTCCCAGAGAGCTCTCAAAACAAATATGTATACAATAAAACTATCTTTCCCCACCTCCTCCACCTCTCTGCTTGCAACTGATTGCTTCTCCTGGAATCGATACCTCGGCTAATGGCATCCCTGTCGGCCCAGTGGCTCGAGCCACAAATCTCTGTCCTGAGCTTGCGTTGTCTTCCTCCTCATTCAGTCTGTACCAGATTGCTGATTTAATGTAGTACAGGGAAGTCTTGAGGACAGGGACCGGCGTTAGGTGAGGTCAGACGCTCAGTGCAGCTATCACAGATGTTCCTGGTAAATACTGTTGGACACTCCTGTCCTCTGCCTCTCACCATCTCTGCTTTAGACCTGGCCCTCGTCACCTCTGCATAGATCAGTGCCTGGAGCTGCCTATTCCAGCTGCCTGCCAATAAACCGCCTTGCTTTCTGACCTTGTTCCCAAATTTATACAGTGACTATCTGCTCAGTGCCTTGGGTGGCTCTCGTAATCTCTAGCGTAGACCCAGACACCTTCATGTGCACTTTAGTGATCCAGCCTCCGATGCTCTGCAGTGCGCTGCCTGCCTTCCCTGACCTTCCAGTCCCTGCTTCATTAAGACTGGGTTTCTTGGGGTGTTCTGAGATAGCATGCCTTTTGCAGGCACACACATTTTGCTCTGTGCGTGCTGTTCTCCCTTCTGAGGATGCCCTGACCCCTTCTTGATCGATCCTAGTGCATCCTTCAAGACCCTTCTCCATTCCATCTCTTCTGAGAAGGCCTCCGTGATTCCTGCAGGTGTGGCTCCCGCAGTTCCCCAGCTGAGCCAGTACATTCTGTTGTTGCAGCTACCTGCTTGTGTATCTGACCTTTCTGGATGCTAAGCTTGAAGACAAGGTTCTGATCTTATTTTTGTACCTCCAATGTGTAATACATGCCTGATAACACACAGTGAGTGCTCTAATTTCTTTAAATGAATGTATCTGTGACTCTGTAATAAGGAAAAGCGAGTACTCATGCAAAGCAATTGCTCTCAAGCTGTGCTTTGTTTTCTGATTACCCATCAGCATTTTTCTCCACAATAATGTCTTGCTTTTAGTGTCCTGTGTTGAAGAAGAGCCTCTAAGCCCCTTTCTGTCTTCGCTGATACCAGTACTAACAATGGCTGCAGAAAAGGTGTTTCATTTCCCCGGGACGTAGATTCAGCCAGTTTCTTACTTGCTATCGTGATGATTGTAGTTAATTTTATTTTGAAATTCAAATTTGAAACCGCACCAATCCATTATCCGGCTTCTAATTTTACCTGTATTTTAGAAATGACTTTCTGATTGCCATGGTTGTTTTTTCCAGTCATTAGAAAGACAAGCAGTGAAAGCACACAGTCATCACTGTCCAGTGAGACATAGCTCCTAATGTGAATCAACAAGTGAGTGGGTTTTGTGAGAGGTCTCAGTTGAAACAATTACCAGTGAACCACGTCTTTGAAGAGTTAGAGGAAAATAATGGGATTCATTTTTAACTCAGAGCAACTCTCAGCAAGAGCCAGGCTTTCTGGAGTGGCTTTGTAATCAGAGGTCACCGCAGGGCAAGTCAGAACTTTTTAACAACTGGCTCCACTGTAAAAACAGGCTGAGGTTCTAAGGTGACTGCAGAGAGAGGTGATAATGGCTTTGGCCAGCTTTTGTGTCGCGCGTTTGATCTTCGGCTCACCAAGAGGAGGTTAATTTCCACATAAGCTATTAGATTTATTTTTGAAATCAGTTCTTTTTAATAGCAACCTGCTTATGCTCTGAAATATGCACAAGTTAAGAGTTGGCTGGGAATATTACAACTGTTAGGATCTGTGTCTTGGATGACTCTGGGCCAGTCGTCAGCAGAATACTTTGCAATCAGTCCAATTAATCTGAGTTTTTTCTTTCTTTTCTTTTTCTTTCTTTTCTTTTCTTTTCTTTTTTTTTTCTGTCTTCTACATTTATTGTATTACAAAATACAAGAATACTGTACTTACTCATTGTAGATAGTTGGAAAATACAAAATTCTCAAGGGAGAAAAAAATGATTCCAGGTGAGAGTCATTACCTGAAGAGAACCATTGTAGTAACTTGGCTTCCACAAAGTTCCTTCCCTACACACACAAGCAAACACATATTTTTAAAATTCTGAGATAGGGCTGGCCAGATAGCTCAGCAGACTAAAGTATCTGCTTAGGCATACGCAGGGACTGGGGTTTGAATCCTGGCCTACTGTACAGGCCCCGCCCCTGGGTTGTACTGAGACAGCCACTGAGACTGGGCATGGTATAGTAAGACCCTGTAGACCCCGTACTAAATACATTCTTTTTAAAAAAAAGTTGATGTAAAATTACTGTGATAAAATGTTTCATACACATGGGGAGAATTACACAGTGATATTCACAGCTAGAGTCACAAATGGTCAAGATTTTGCCACCATGCATCCCTTTTGTGCTTCTCCTTTCTTTTTTTCAAATATCAACCAACTACTTTGAAAAGGAAAAGAGGAGGTTTAATTGTGGAAAACAATAACTGGCCTGCCTCCCTCCCGCCCCCACTCACCTCTTACTAGGAGGCACGCAGTGCAGCTTGGCACTTAGTGGTGCACTGTGCTTTGAGAAGCAGCCCTCAAGCTCAGGTCTACCACCTGCTAGATGGGTATTGATTTTTCCTCTTAAATCAATGTTTCCCTAGAGCATAGTTTTATTTATTCATAAAGCTCAGATGATGTCCGACAGGAGTTACAGCGGCACACATCCATGGGGCAGGCGCAGCCTGAAGAGCTTTTGTGAGACTCAGTGATCAGTGAGCTGATGCTGGAGGGTGACCTCATAGAGCGGGGCAGGAGCAGCACTCCTCTTCCCCGTGTGAAAGGCAGAGTTTGGCAAGGGGCAAACCCTGTTCCTTTGGTCTCTGTGATCCTTTGCAAACAGGCCTAAAAGCAGGGTGATGGAAACCCAGGCTACACCTGTCTGGCACCACGGTTGGGGGACCTCGGGCTGTACAGCAGCCAGGCGTCAGGCGTGAACCTTGTGGACGCTGCGCCTGTCGGCTTGCTTCTGAAGGGTGTGCTGACCCTGTGTCTGTCCCCCAAATGTCTGTCTCACGGTGCAGGAGCTCCTGGGTGGGCTTTTCCACCCTGGTGGTCAATACTCACATCTTTGCTTTGGGATACTTCCGCATACTTATTTTTTTAAATATCTCTAACAGCTTTCTATGTAGTCAAGCTCTGTAA